ATGGGAGATCTGAATATAGGTGCAAAAAGAAGGCCTTAACCGGTTACGGACCAGGCCCATTAAGGATAGGCCTAGCTGTGAAAGGGTGAAGCTTTGTTAGGCACTTGTGATCGTCCACATAAGGGTCTGAGTGTGAAACTCAGGCCATGTTTTCTTTGGCTGATCTTAATAGTTTTGATCGGATTAGAATACGTTCTGATCTGAATCTCGTTATATATAAAACTATTCTTGGTCTAATATGATTTACATAAGAAAAATAATAACTACTCCATCCGTCTCAATTTATAGTGCCTGTTTCGGTTTACGATGTTTGACTGAAATTATTTTCAAATCATTTTATATGACAAATGGTATAAAGTTAAAAAATAAAAATTACATATCAAAATACTACATCAAAAGATCTACAAAACTAGTAGTGACAATAATACTTTATTTTATCAAATTGCTAATGAAAATAGAGAAAGAAAGTGAATGAAGTTTGACCCTGTGAATAGTGAACATGCACTATAAATTGAGACGGAGGGGGTAATAAAAATAAATTGAGTTAAAGATGCCTATTTGCGCCCAAAACTCAGCCATACCCATACATTACTGCATTATTTGGCCCAACTTGTTGGAAAGCCCATTTGTTAGGCCATTCAATATTGTTCGAGTTTCTCAGTATCTTTATTACCAGCTTAAAGGCCTGGGGAAAAAGTGCCCAAGTGATACTCAAGCATAGATCCATAAAAACTACGACCAACTTCATTTTAAAAAGAAGGGCTATGCTACACTTACACCACGAATTGTACCCCATTTGTACACCGCAGTTATACACAAACATTTTGATGGTTTACACCGACACAAGTGTTGGTGCGTTACCAAAAATTTACACGGACACAAACAGTGGCGGATCCAGAAATTGAAGTAGATGGGGGCATCATTGATCGGTAGTCTAGAAGCGTCGTTGATAAACTATTTGAAATGACAAAAAATAATAAGTCTTATTTCAAATATTTATTAAATGTAAACTATTTTTTAATATGTAAAATGAAATTTTATTTTATAAACAATTACGGAGTAATTTTATACAATAAAATACTCTTTACTAAAAAAAGTAAACAAAAAATTTAAATTTGACCAAATTAGATAAGATCACATTAATTTTTTGTTGGGGGCATATGTATATAAAATTTTAAAAAATAATATTTTTAACCTTATCACAAGAAATTAGTTGGGGGCATTTGCCCCATACTCTTCCTTAGTGGATCCGCCACTGGACACAAAAATGTTGGTGCATTAATAAAAATTAGTTTTACACCAACACAAAGTGTTAGTGCAAAGCTACGGGGTACAAAGTGGGGTACAAATAGTTTTACCCTAAAAAGAATGATTTCTATCCTCCTAACCACCCCTAAACCCTCCACCCGAGTCCACTCCTTTGCCTTCTCCCTACCCTGTCAGTACTAAAAATAATAAACTAGACTATTCTTTTAAATAATCAAATATTTAAATCAAATAAAATAGAAAAAAGATTTAATTTGACTTTTGCACTTTATCTTGGTAATTAATACCTCTGTTTCAGAATATTTGTCCAGTTTTATCTTTTTTCAGTCAATTATTTTCACCATTTGACCAATAATTAAATAAAATATATATTGAATATTAATTTGATAAAGTAATATTTTGAAAACATTTTATATAATAAATCTAATTAAACTATTTTGCATCAATATCTAATACTACCTCCGTCCCAGAGTATTTGTCCACTTTCATTTTTACACACCATCCAATACACTTCTTTATTCCATTTTATCTTGTAATTTGTATATTAAAAGATTATAGAAATTATATATTAATATTCTATATGTTAAGACAAATCAAACAAGATCACACATGACTATATTTAGGCTTACACATTGAGAGAATTTGATGAGTCAAAGTACTTAGATGAACAATTCCCAAAGTCAAAACTGGACGAATACTCCGGGACGGAGAGAGTATCATTTTTATTTAACTTAAGGTCAAAGTTTACCAATTTTGATCGGAAAAACTCAAAGTAGACAAATACCGGACGGAGGGAGTTCTTATAATTTTAATAAGAAGAAGTTTGTACCTATAACTTAATATTTTCTCTAAGGTGTAGCTTAGTATTTATAAATTTGTTTATGTAATAGTTCACGGTATCTACGCTTCAAAATTACAAAATTTGAATGAAAAAGGACCCACTTGGGTTTGAATGTACCAAAACTTGATCACACTCAATTCATTTCCATTTTTAACAAGGAGAAGTGCATAGAAAATTTAAAATATAGGAGTGAATAAGATCTAGACTTAACTACAACAACATCAAAGAGAAATACGATTTCCAATTTGCAACTCATTGTACTTTTGATAAAATATCCTGTATTGACTATAATACTTTCACACGGATGAATGATTTATATACGAAGTATAAAAAGAAAACAAAAATAAATAAATACGGAGTAAATAAATGTTTTTTTTGGGTAAAATTTGTTTCAAAATCATAAGACCACTAATATTTTTATTAACATTTTTTAGTTAATCCGGGAATAAAAAGAGTTGTATTTGTAATGTTTTTAAACCTTTTTTATCATAGGATAATCTATGTTTTCATATTTTTAATAATACGTGAGAGAATAATCTTTTTTCAATAATTCGAAGGGAAGCATCATCTTTATATATACAATGCTAATGTGTAAAAGATGAACAATAAAAATTCCGCCTAAATGTTATGGGCTCGAGTTGGAACTGGGCCTGAGAAATGGGAGAACAGACCTGATGGGGAATGTCACTTTATAGAGAAATGTGATATTAATTACTTTGCATTGATAGAGTATGTGATGACGGCTTGGCTTCAGTGAGTGTGTTTATTAATGAGGAAGAGAAAGTGGTGATGTCGGCCGGAAAATGGAAAAAAACTTTATGGAGCAATTTGATATTAATTATAGATCTTGAAACGGGCTAATTTATGGGAAGAGACCATTTTATGAAAAAACGTGATATCATTATTATTTTGTACAGGAGAATGTGTGAAAGTGACTTAGCTTTGGAATTGTAAAAGGCGATGCTGCCACTTTATTGAAAGTTTTGATGCCATTATAGCTTTTGAGTTGGGGGAAGTGTATTGGCGGCTTGCATGCGGGGTAGTGTAATGGTGGCTTGAAGAGCTAAATATACACACTTTTTGAGGCATGAGCATAATTACACTAGATTTTTAAACCTTTAGATTCATGTGTAAATATTTTGGAGTGCACATCCCAACTATTTTGCACACATAAATACCTGTTCCCATAAAAATTACATTATCAGATCCACACTTTCATTTTTCATTTTATCAACTCTGATTCACTATAAATAGAAATGTTCTAGCAAAACGTTTTGGTAAAAAAATTCTTTTGCTTTTTTTGTTCTTTTTTTTCTTTGGTGTTTGTTGCTTCTTCATTTTTCAATTATTTCTTTGCTTCTTCTTCATTTTTATTCTTTGGTTTTTTATTTTTAGTTTTAAATTTGTTAAAAATTTATTTTTATAATTTTTTTTAATTTTTAAGTTATTTAATTTTTAATTATTTTTCAAGATGTCCTTTGACATAATAGAATGATTTCCTTGAAATTTGTATTGATTTAGTTATATTTTATACAAATTCAAATAATTAGATGTCATGTTAATTTTATATTTAGTTTTAATTGAATTTAAATTTATTCATTAATTCTATTAAATTTGTATTCCTTATATTTTTGATAAATGATTGGCCGTGTTACACACGAGTACAAAATATAGTGTTTTAAAATACTAGTTGTACGAAAAGAAGGCTTCCTTACATTTATTTATAACATAAAATAGAAAAATACATTGATTGATGGTAATCTTAAGAAAAGAATCAACGTTAACATGACTTGAAAACTACTCGTTGAATTTTTAGAATTAAAAAACTAATTCTGCATAACATAGAAGAATTAAGAGTTTATTTTCTTTAACTTATTCTTATTCGAATCATATCAAATAACTTAAATATAACAAGAAACAAATGAGAACTTGTTCTAATAAAAAGATGTCACACTTCTATTACCGAGGTAAAATATCAAGTTTTTTCAATTCATTTTATTTACTTATTGGTGTAGAAATAAAACAATTTACATATAAAAAAAACTACATGAAAAGTTCTTCGAAATAAGAGGTGTCAAGAATATTTTATTTTATCAAATAACCAATGAAAAATTAAAAATAAACAAAAGTTCTCGCGACTACTGAAAAAGCAAGGGTGGCAAATATTTTGGGACTAAGGCAGTATGTATCCTTCAATATTCCACCAAATCAAATATTCTCAAAAATTATAAAAGGCTAAACTCCACCATTGGTCCTTCAACTTTATCAGTTGTGCACGATTGATTCTTCAAGTTTTTAAAGTCCATAAATAGTCCTTCAAATTTATGAGTTATGCACGATTGGTCCTTCAAGTTTTAAAAGTCCATAAGTAGTCCTTCAAGTACACGTCAGTCCTCTAGATGAGGTCCTTTTGACAGTAAATGTTAAAACCTAAATGAAATACTAGCTCCATATAATACGGAGTAGGCGTACCTAGTGGAATTTATTCGTATTATATGAAACTAGTATTTCGTTTAACTTTTAATATTTAATCTCAAAAGGACTTCATCTGGAGGCTGACGTGTACCTGAAGGATTATTTATGGACTTTTGAAACTTGAAGGACTAATCGTGCATAACTCATAAACTTGAAGTACTATTTATAAACTTTTAAAACTTGAAGTATCAATCGTGCACAACTCATAAAATTTAAGGACTAATGATGTATTTTATCCAATTATAAAATGAACAAAACAAAATAAATTTCTGATTTTCGTGCCTCCCACTTCATTCTCCCTGCCCCCATTTTCATCTTATTCTTCTTCTTCTTCTTTTTTTTGCCGGGCTTTTCTTCATCTTTCTTCTTCTTCATGGATTTCTTCATATCCAGAACATACATTATGCACATATGATTCACGCACGTATTTACAAAGCCATATATGCAGAGCTTGCTCAAAATTCAACTCTCAATCAGTGACTTGTAGCCGCATCCAAACCCAATTTTCACTGCTGTACGTAAACGAGGATACCTTCTCTCCTCTGCAATTATCCCCCTTTTCTATTCCTTTTTTAACTTATTTAGCTATATTTCCTTCATTATTGTTTGTATAAAAATATATATACGAATCAATTGTTCATTTATTTGTTATATTCTGGCTTGCTATTTACAGAAAAACTAATTTGTATCCGTCAAGAATCTTTTCATGTCTCGAAATTCAACCATTCATCACATAAATAAATTTGGAGTTATGATTTTTGTAGGAATCTGGAATAACAGGATTTCAGAAAAAAATTGAGGGCTCATCATGGAAACAAGTCTTGCTTTATGGATATTGAAGTTATTTTGGGCACTTGTGTGGTATGTTATTTCAAGAACTTGTAAGAATGCTTACATTAGAACTTTCAAGTGGTTTATGATTTCAAATTAGATGTATCTTAAATAAAACATGTTTAGATTTTTTTTAATAAAATAAATTGTATGTACTATTATGGTCAACCTTGCAATTCCCTATTATTGAAAGAGAAAAAATTTGCTAGGGTGTTAGGTAGCAGATAATGATGATCTAGAGCTGTGTAAACTTATCATCCATTTGAAATACTGCATTTGTGGATTTTGTTAATTTCAGATTATATGAAAGTTTACACATCTTTTTAATGCTAACCCCATGTATATAATAAGCATACACCTTTCCAATATCCATGGTTCTTTTATAGTGCTATGGGTACTATCATTAGTAGTTAAACCATTTATTGAGAAATAGAAGATTTAATAACTAAACATACTTTTTATCCAGCTTTTCCAGTTTTTTTTTCCGGCGGTTACAAAATATTCAGCTGCTAATACATATCAAATCACTTATACTTGTGAATCCCAGGTTTCAGAAAACCTGCACTGAGCTTATATGGAAGGCTTATATACTTTCAAAAAAACAAGGTTGTGCCATAGACCCATTTTAGCACATTCAAAAATTCTAATAATGAAGTGGGCAATTACGCTAAGAGATAACAATCTAAGAACTCGAATCAAACTCTGGCATCAGGGTTCTTGACACATGTCCATGGCTCCTTGCCTCCACTTGTGCCTATTATCATACTGGCATTATCTGTGTGCGATGATCCTCTCTAGTATCTACATGTTCTGAACATTGTATTGATGCCAAGAGTTCTGAAACTTTGCAGGACATAGTGATGTTTCGGCTGGCATTGATGATATGGACTCTTCAAGTCCTCGCTCTAGTCCAGGAGATATATCAATCCATGAGACTGATGGAAAAGTTGTCAGACAATTAACAAAAATTATTGCTCTAAACGTATGTTTGGTTTTAAAATATGGGTTTTCATATCTGATCTGTTATTGCCCTTAATCTTTGGTTGTTCTACCTTTATGGGTAGGAGTAAGGCCTGCACACACTCACCCTCTTACACTCCTTTTCTGGGATTTCAATAGTTTGTTGTTTCTTTATCATACCTAATCACCACCATTAAAATTTGTTCTTAGTGTACAATTGTTTGTTGAGAAATGCTAGAGTCACAAACTAAATGGTCACAAAAATTACAAACTTACTATTTGTGAATATAAATTTTTTACTTTTTTGTTATTTAAAACTATTTTGTGCTCTTAATGAGGTCCAAAATTTTGTGACCATTTAGTTTGTGACTCTAGGATTTCTCTTGTTTAATCAAACTTTCAAGGTAAAATACATAAATAAGTAGATGCCAAAAATAATTGGCACCACACCGTATTGTAGAGTGGTTGAAGATTCCTACTCAGGCATTACGCAATCCATTATGTTTTTGCCCTCTTCAATTCAACGCGGGATTGCAACTACGTTTGGTAAACAATTCTTATCTTTAGGAACATCAGTTTTTCCGGATGACTAACAAACTATACACCTGGTTTTCACAAGATTACCATAAGCCTTAGGATGCTTTTAGCTTAGTTTACCTAGAACCTTTATGATGGTTTCATCTCAGTTCACTAACCACCTTAGAATGGGGATTTAGAAGCAAAACCTTTACTGTGGAGATCTGAAGTAAGAATTGGAGTAACTACACGCCTACACCACCCTACAAAGTATATCTCAAGGGTTTATAGAACCAATGGTGTGTGTAATATGATAATGCAATCTTAAAAAATATTGCAAAACGCTCATAGATTTATGCGCGTATACCTATTTGCAAGCTTATCAGGTGTATGAAAGAATAAAGTATTTTATTTTCTAGAAACATTTACGAGTACACACACAAGGATTTTATACTTCGTACAAGTTGATGCAAGTATCAATTTTCATTTAACATGAGGAAGTGAGTTTTCTTCTCAGAGTCAACGTCCTTTAAATGAGTTCCAAATTCACCCAGACCGAACTGTTTCCATAAGGTTGACCATTTTGGTCCAGGGGTGAGTTGCTGGTTCAAAACGTTGTACCAGATAGTATTTGGAAACTTTAACCAAGTTGTAACATTTACACTATGTTTGGTTCAAGGAATTTGAAAGGGAAAAGAAAAGAAAATGAAGTGGAAAAAACATTTTCTTGTTTGGTTAGAGGGGAAAAGAAAGGAAAAGTGGAAGGAAAAAAAATGAGAAGGCAAAATGTATTAAGTGGAGGGAAAACCAAATTCCTCCCATTTTAGCGAGGAAAATGAGAGAAAACCAGTTTCTTTTCTTTTCCTTCCAAATTCCTTGAACCAAACATAGTGTTAGCATTTGGAAACATTCACCAAATGGCTTAGCCAGTGATTAAAAGGGTGAGCTGTGTGCGGACCACTCATAGGTAGTTACGTAAAAAGGGAAAGGGTATATGTTTTCAAAATACTTGTGTGGCGCTCGGAGCTTGCAACCAGGTCATATAGACATCTTAAATCTTTATCACTGAATAAATTTTTACAATAGTGTTGGACTTTGGTGCTTGATCGAGTCGATTTTTATAATAAAAACAGGGTATTCCGTCGATTGGAAGTTCACCAGGTTGGTAACTTCAAGGCACATGGGATTAGTTGCCCAAAATGGTCCTGAATCCACGATATTGAAAAAAATAATGTCTTTGGTTTCTCAATACTCTTGAAATTCTCATTTACTGCATTATAATTTGTAAAAATCAAACCAAGATTGAAAAGCACATCAAGGCCAAAACTTTCAAGTATTAGTAAGCTCTAGATATTTTAACTCTTTGTTGCATTTATGTAATGATTGTAATCAGATGGAATAAGCATCTCTTTTCCATGTCTTGATGAGAGTCACCAGTTAATATTTGTAATGAAATAGTTTTAGATAATAATCGTTGTTTACAGTAATACAATTCCACTAGAACAGTATAGTGAAGCTTAGGGTCTAATATAATGTTATTCTTGTTGTGAATTAAGTTTTTAATTGTTGATAATGCAATTCACGGTTTAAATTACCAAGTCTCCCCTTTTACTTTGGAATACTTTCTTGTTTCTTTGGTATTTGAATTAGATATTAGTGCTTTTGAATGAATTTGAGTTTCTGTTGTGTTCATGCAGCACATTGCTCGAGAAAATGGAGATGTACCTTCAGGAAACGAAGAAACTTCTGATCATGAAAGGCTGAAAAAAAGGTAGTGGTTTGCCCTCAAAGGACTTGTGATACTATAGAAACATGTGTGATGCAATAGATCATGTATCCATGATATTCGATCTTTCATGATTGTGAACATATGGCCTATCAATTTTCTTGTTTTAGCCAGGTGTTTTGGAACTAAGCATATACTCTTTCAAGGATCTTTCTCACCGAATAAAATGATTACTCCGTATATCTTAACTTTGTAGATGAAGCACATTATTTGTAATTTGCAATGCTTTGCATCATATGTAATTCCACCTTTTTGTATTAGAAGAAAGCTTTGTCTTTAAAAAAAACTCACATTTTGCATGGATGTTAACATGGTATGCTTCCTTTTTATTTTTAGTTTTACATAAAATGAAATTTGAAAGCCTTGCACCATAATGACAGGCAAATCAACAAAGATGCCACTACCCTAAAATGGTGTTTTTCACAAATTGGTGTCCTTTTGTATTGATTATATTTTGGATAGTGAAACATTCCGCGAAAATATTCTTGACTCGTGGGAAAACTGTCCATTCAATGTATCTTCTCAATTAGATTCATATTGCATGTAGTACATATTGGTGTTTCTGGTTTCAGATTACTGCAAAATGGTTTTGTTGAGCACCAAATTAAAGGGGATGGCAACTGCCAGGTTATTTCCAATTTAGCTCATAACTACATGTAATCGCAATTTAGTGTGATCTTCTTGTCACATTTTTCTATTAGCATCTGCCTCATTAGCTTATTTTGTTCTTATTTATCGCATTCATTGACGGTGTTTAGCTGCAACACCACCGTGTTTTTAAGGTTACTTTATTTCAATACACCATGCTTTTTTCTTGAGGATCATTGGATCCATCGCCTCCATGTTTATATGGATGCAATTTGGTTCTCACCATCCCATGATTATTTCCCAATTTTTTAATGACAAGGTTACTTTATTTCAATACACCATACTTTTGATTTGGTTTTTAAATACCGGAGTATATCAATTTTATTTTTAAAATTTTCACTTTTTATCAAACAAATTGAATTGAAACGGTGGGTTTTGAATACCCTCCGGCATACACTTGTTGGGCTTTCTATGCCTTCATTGAGACATTAGGGGAGTGGGTGTACTGGTTAGCTTAGTAATTAGGCAGAAAATATAAAATGATATGCTCCTTGTAAACATTTGGTGGTTGAACAATGTAGTAGATCTGAGTATGCGTTTCTCAAGACTATGCTTCATTGGTTCTATATATTCGGATAAATTGAGAATTAATGCTAAAATTCTTTCAAGTAGAAAGCCTTTCTTCACCTTTTTGTTCAGTTTCGTGCTTTATCAGATCAAATTTATGGTACTCCTGAATGGCACAATTGTGTGAGGCAGCATGTTGTTAACCAGGTGACCTATCTATCTGTCTGCAATTATACTTTGCTTGCGACATTATTATCCCTTGCGACTTATTGTCCCAATGCAGCCATTTTCCCCATTTTGACTTGTAATCATTTGGTTTCCATCAGCTTAAAAGTCACCCAAAGAGGTACAAGGGATACGTTCCCATGGCATATGATGACTATCTGAAGAGGATGTCAGAGTTAAATTCAATCAAACCCCTCTTTGTGTATTTACATTTCTTTTGTTACTTCTCCTTTACCCTTTCCTCTACTTGTACCAATTGCTTCAGGAGTGGGGTCTGGGGGGATCATGTCACGTTGCAGGCCGCTGCAGACTTGGTAATTAAAATATATTACTCCCTCAGTTTCTGAAAATCTTTTTCCTTTCTTTTTTCATTCATCCCAAAAAACTTTTTCTCAATTCTATTAAAAAGTCACTTTTAACCCTACTAATTCTTAACTTACCTATCACATCACATCTATTCACTTTTAATCTACCCATCACATCAAAGGATATTTTTTGGAAGCTCAACACTAAAATACACTCTCCTTAAATCCCTTAAAAATCAAAACCTCTCATGTTTTTAGGGACAGAGGGAGTACCACGTTGCTTAAATTCCCTGCGTGTGAGGGAGGTTTATTTTTTTGTTTCAGACTACTTCTAATATATCTTCAATTATAAATTTGATAGTATGGTGTGAGAGTTCTTGTCATAACATCATTCAAGGACACATGTTTCCTTGAGATTCTTCCCAAGAAACAAATATCGGAAAAAGGTTATTTCTGAACCTTTTATGTCTAGCTATGCTCTCTTTCGTGCCCATCGATGCCCGGATTTGTTTTGTTAATTTGGAGAATATATGATATACCATAAGTTTTAGGCCATTATACTTCTTTTTCTTTACAGTCCATTACCAAAGGAGCTAAAAAAAGTCATTATTCACAAGTCATAACTTTGGACAAATAATCAACTAAACTAAAAAATCACCAATGGAGTTCACATTAAACGTTCATTTAGACACTTTTTTTTAATATCTGTGCAGTCGTTTATTTAAGTTTTTGGGCTGAGGTGCATTACAACTCCATACATCCTAAAGCAGGTAATCAATTAGTGTCACACTCTAATTAGTCACACGTCTTCGTTCTGACTTCAGTTTTCTTACGTTGTAACATTGTTTTCATTTGTAGGTTCTCCTCCCGAGTGCTGTGAAGAAGAGGAAGAAGTGGAAGTCCCCATAGTTTGATGCTGCAAAAGGCATATATGTGTTGTACATACAGAATGATCTGTGTGTGTAGGTAGGTAGGTAGGTTGTCGTATAAAACCACAACTCTTGTATAGTTGTATGGCTTAAAAATACAGAGTTCTCCATATAATTTGAAATGTAACTTACAATTATACAATAACTAGTAAAGAATCGAGAGAAAAATAATATTAACCTTTAAAATTTAACAAATGACACACCATATACATTTGCTGATTGAAATATATCTATATACAAATCTAAAAAAGGGTAAATGTATGGTTTAAATCCAAATCTTTTGGAAAACTTTGGTGCTTGGAGTCCTCTGTCTCCTCCCCATGTCTTCCCACTCATATTTTGACAAAACATCCACCCCACCCTTAAACCCACCCTACACATGAGCATACACCCCCTTTCCATCACCCTTCAAAAGTGAGTTTATATTAATTTAAGGATGGGCTGGATAATGTGTCAAAAGATGAGTTGTGGGAGGGAGTTGGGACGGAGACATGAGAATTTTATTTCACGCCCAAACATTGGGGTATACGGCATTTTTAGTGAGGCTGCAAGGGTTACTACTTACTATTCACAAGATCAAACTTTATTTACTTTTTTCTCTATTTTTGTTAGCAATTTGATAAAATAAAGTACTATTGTCACTACTAATTTTGTAGATCTTTTGATGTAGTATTTTAATATGTAATTTTTATTTTTAAACTCTATACCATTTGTCATATAAAATAATTTAAAAATAATTTCAATCAAACATCGTAAACCGAAACAGGCATTATAAAATGGGACGGAGGGAATATAAAGTTAACTATGAGTGAATACTAATTTAGTACTCCGTAAAAAATGATCCAACAAATGTTCCAATCTTTCCACTATTGTTGCGTACATTGGTATTGTGACATTACTACTTTTGAATGCTTATGGATTCAATATCAATAACCTCACCATATTGATTAGCACTTCAATTCTCCCATATATTTTAGGGGAATCAAGTGCTCTTTAAACTTAGTCTCAGTTTTCTACTATTATAAAGTTTAAACATATATAGTAGTAGCAAATCATCTTGCCCGAACAAACAAAGCTTCTCATTCTTCTTGTGATTCCCTCGTGCACTTGGCGGTGTCCACACTGAGAAAAAGAAGAATATACAAGTAATTGCATAAAACATAATACAAATCTAAAAGAAAATGAAACTCATAAAACATAAAACAAATCAAGGAAGAGAGATCATGCATATATAATTATATATATGCACACACACATACACATATATCATACTTTCTGTTAAGGATTATCTTTTAATTTTATTTGTTATGGGTGTTTTTAGGTGTCCTTTTAAAAAATTAAAATGAAGCAGATTGTAAAACAAAAAAAAGTAAAAAGTTTTAACTTGTTCAATTACTAATACGCATGAAATCAATGATGTCAAATTGTGGTTAAGCACTTTCCTATCACAATGGTAAACACAGCCATAGTTAGCATATTATGCTCATAAAGCATAAAATAACACATGTAAGAGCATCTCCCAGGGATAAATCATATTCTTAAAATTTGAGCATATCCCAGCCATAGTTAGCATATTATGCTCAGTCCATATGCAAGAAATTGAAAATAGGAAATAAATGCATATGGGAGCAAGTCATTATAAGAAAATAAAAAGCCTTCAGTAACTCTAAATAGTAAAGAAATTTTCAGTTCATAAGGGAAGAGTAGTAACTTTTATGGTGTAAAACATGATATCTCAAGCAAAAATATTCTTATAAGGATAAAATCCAATATAAGAAAGTATTATGAAATGAGTTTGTGAACAGTCTAAGTGCAAAGGCCTCAACCAACCTATATTAAGAGCTTGATATCGTAGAAACTCATTCATGTGCCTAAGGTTTGAACTTTTGAGTATATGGAATGGTTCCAACTCATTCATGTGAGACGATTAATCCTGGGCGGAGGGAGTAGAAGATGTTGAAATATTGGAATAATAATATTGCTCATTGAATTATGGAGTACATGGTAGAGTATATATATATGAGAGACTCCTAACACAACTAGAAATTGAGAATGGAAACTCACTAAAAGGTGTATCTAATATGGTGTTGAGAGTTAAGGTGTATCTAATATGTTGTTGCTCGTACAAATTTGGAAATATGAAATTATGAATTTGAATACGGATAGGCTATACAGCTGGACTATTGGTAGACCAAGAAATAGAATAAGAATACAATTAGGAATAACTGGTCATGTGATTAGCCAGCGCGGACACATGATCATTTGGGTAGAGCGTGCACACGGGTGTTGTAGATCTACTTATGGATGTGACTAGGTGGTCCCACCCAATCAACGTTAGATGACATCGTATCCAACAGGTTTTTCCATGGGCGTGGTTAAATCAAGACTAGAATAAAGAATGAGTCTTAGTCTAGGATAGGTTGAGTTTAGAAGTAAGGAAGTTGATAATGAGGTTTGCATAAGGATTATGTGTCATAAATGCCTAAGTTAAGAATGAAATAAGTTTGGTAATCCCAGTAAGTATGTTTGATTTATGAATTATTTAATATTAAAAATATTATCGATGTGTACTTGTGTGCATCATATTCGTCTATGTGCGTAGTCGAATTGTTAGATATTACTCACTTAGTTTCAATGCTGACCGTGTAGCTATTTTTCTTATTTGCTACACGCCTACACGTAGGTAACAAGATTGATGAATAAGGAGAGATCCTTGGAGGAATAAGGTAACAAGATGGATGGATGGATGCTAGCTGGAGGAATTTAGTTATTTAATATTGCATTTGAATTAATTATGTTTAAAGGGCAAGAACAATAATCATATTTTGATTTAAGTACTTTAAAACTTTTGCACCATTTTTGTTAACTCTAAGAGTAAATTTCCAAAATAGTCCTTTGTAATAAGGTGTATTCTCAAATCAGTTCTCAATAATTTTTAATTACTTATTTGGTCCTCTATAATTGAAATTTATTCCCAGGATGTCCTTCATAAATAATATTAGTCAAATGAGGATTAATTGAGAGTAAATTCCATAATTGATCCTTTATAACATGGGGATTTCCATATTTAGTCCCCTATTATCAAATATTACCCTCGTAGTCTTTTTTTGAAGGGTGCCTTTCCACAAATGGTCTTTTTTATCTTCCGCCATGTGGTTGTTAATTTAAAGGCTAAAAGTATAATTAGACATTAACATTATGTCTAGTGACGTGTTCTGATATTAGTTAAGCGGATAATACAAAAATAATGACTATGACTGTGGGCAAGGATTCCGACGAAAGACTACATTTGTAGACCATAATTGTAGTAGAAAGTGAATGTAATTCACAAACGATGCAAACACAACAACCTTTTGAATTGTGTATGACAAAAAAGATATATTATCATTGTTAAAATTACACTTTTAGCCCTCAAATTAACTCTAACATGACAGAAGATCAAAAAAGACTATTTGTGGAAAGATACTCATAAAAGAAGAACCACTATGATAATATTTGATAATTGATGACTAAATAGAGAAACTCCCTGTTATAAAAGACCAATTATGGAATTTACTCATTAATTGAGGATATTTTATTATTTTTTATCCGCTAAATTTATAATTAATTCTGAAAATGATCTTTTATAATGAAGTTCTTTCCAAAATACTTCTTTCTAATTAAAGATGTGTATTTGAATTGAAATTTAAAAGATTTTTTTATAAGTTTTAAATAATTCATGAATTATTTATAGTCAATGTTTTTTTCAATTTTACATTTAGCTGTAGAGAAATAATTGTATCGAAAATATAATTTAAATTTGGATGATCAAAATACCAAAATATCTCCTAATTAATCATCATTTAAGTAACATTATTTACGAAGGACTATCTTGGGAAAAAATCTAAATTATATAGGACCATATGGGTAATTAAAACTTATAAAGGGCTGAGTTGGGAAAAACCTCTTATTACAAAGGACCATGTTTAGGAATCAAAATTTGTGATTTTTGATTTGTGATTGTACATTTATTTCTTCAAACCATGTGTAGGAATTAAAATTTGTGATTTTGAGCTGTTGTTGTTTTCCTTTTTCACTCACTTATGCCCTAACTTGATGTCGTTGATGATGCATTGAATCTGGGTGCTCTTGTTGTTATTAGTGATGACCATTTTCATTACATGTAAAAAATTTGATCTAATTTACTTCACATTTTTGTCTTATCTTATTTTATTTTCCCTTCAATTTTGTCTATTGTACTTAAGAATCATCATAGCTCAGACACTGTAGCTCCTGACCACCTTTACATTTTCATTACATATAAAAAGTTCTACCTAATTTACTCCACATGTGATTGTTGAGTTATTGTAGTTTTACCATATTTCATTTTTCCTTTAATTTAACTTATTACACTTGATGGAAAAGATATTCCAGCTCCTGAGAGTCCTGACCAGGTTAAATCATATTCACTATCTCTTTTCTAATATTAGATTTTGAGTTATTGTTATTTTCATTTTTAGCCACTTATACTCAACATTTGATTTTTGATTGTACATTTCATTTCTTCAAACCAAGTGGTACAATTTATGATTGTGAGCAATTATTCTTCCTTTTTCAACAACTAATGAGTTATGTCCTAACTTGATGTTGTTATTGATGCATTACATCTGGATGCTCTTGCTATTGCTAGTGATGACCATTTTCATTACATGTAAAAACTTGCATCTAATTTATTCCATATTTTTTATTGATTTATTACAATTTTACCTGATTTTATTTTCCCTTTAATTCAATCTGTTCTACTTATGGATCATCATAGCTCAAACATTGTAGCTCCTGACCACGTTTGTATTTTCATTACATATAAAAAGTTCAACCCAATCTACTCCACATGTTGAGTTATTGTAGTTTGACCTTATTTTATTTTTCCTTTAATTCAGCTGCAACAAATGGAACAAGTTAAATTAAAAGAAAAATAAAATAAGGTAAAATTGCAATAACTCAACAACTACATGTAAAGCAAATTGGATAAAAAAATTTATATGTAATGAAAATGTAAATCTGGTCAGGAGCTACTATGT